GTGTTTGGTGCCTTTATAAGGCCGAGGTGAAGGGACAATAACAAAACAATTCTCAGTTATTGACTCACTTATTAAGACAGATTACTGGTCCATGATCCAATTCTGTATTCATATGCCAGGATCGATTTAATTACAGGTCGTCTTTCAGATGGGAAATTATCAACTAAGTTACAATGTTGTCATCAGGAAAGAGAATACCACTTTTATGTTTTAATTCTCATCCAACAATAACATGGAATGTAGGTAAACATGCATATATTTATAGGTGATTTTCACAGTTTAAGTGAAGTTAAATTGGATATTGTTTTTCTACAATATTAATATTTGCATTTGATGTTATCACCTTTCATGCTGGGAGGTTGTGAAATCACAATATTTACTGTAAAGTCCGGTGATGGTATTTTGGCTATTTTGTACTATAGCATTCGATAACAAAATTCTTATGCAGTCTAAGAAAGTGCAGTCTAAATTAAGACTGCTGTTGTAAATTAGACATATTTATATGCTGATTCAGTATTCTGCTAGTCCAATTAACACATCCTGTATTTTCTGTTCCTATAAGTGTGTATATTGCAAGATAAGTTCTTCCTATGTGTCAAATGAAGTGCAAGGCTGAGAGAAAATAAGCATAGAATTCACAAATATTTCTAACTACAGTATCACAAGAATTTCCAGCTGAAACGTATGGTGAGAACTGTGCTTTGAACAGCTGTTCAAACATGAAAAGAACTCAAATAAAATAGAAGATTTAAAATAAATCTTTATAGTAAAGTCTAGGACGACCTTCATCAACAGGAAACTTGGCTTAGAACACTCTCATTTACACAGAAATGTTCAAAACATAAGGCTGTCCAGCTTCCGGCAAAGACCAGACAGTTTCCTGCAAATAGTGCACAATGCACAAGTCCACAGGTGTCACTTCTTGCGCACATGTGCTCTATGCACAGAAAGTGAATTTAGCAGCAACTTCATGACACAAGAAGCGATGACTAGGAATCATATTTTAGAATACCTCCTTATAATGTGATAACTGAGTTTATGGACCGAAACCACAGCATGATAACAATATGAACTGTTAATTACTACGAAAGACAATTTTAACATTTTTAAGTTATATTCAGTATGAAGTTAATGGAGTTGCTCTGGGATAACGAACACTGCCCACACTCTGAAAGGGGAAGTGGAAACACAAAATGTTCATCTCTATGAGGTTTTGAAAATCATGGGCAGTGTGACATAATACCCTGGGGCTATCCAGTCGGGGAATACTGAATTCTCAGAGGTGGCGTTGTTCAGATGAAATGTTAATCTGAGGTCCCATCTATCCATTCAAGGACATTAAAGATCCCATGATGTTATTCGAAAAGAGAAAATTAATTTCTCTTAGTGCCCTAGCCAACATGATCCAGATAAAATTGGTCATTCAATTCATGGCTGTTTGTGGGAACTCCAGTATTCAAATTGGTCGCCAGCAAATACACAGATACTACACTTCAAAGAAATTCCCTGCAACATTCTTTGAGATGTTTAAGCTTGATAGGCACTATTACTATATTACACCATAATTAAGCAAGCCTGCGTGAAGGACACTAAATAGACTCCACCTGTACCCCAATGCATATTCTGGGTTCCCCATGCCTTGGCTCTTGCCAACCTGCGCCTAACTCTTTTCAGAATTAGTTAAGCAGGGTGAGTCCCTCCAGGGAAAGAGTACGAATTCCATTCTAACTCCAGTGATCAAATTGGTCGCCCTGTATGCCAACAGATACTACAAGTCAAAGAAATTGCCTGCAACATTCTTTGAGATATTTAAGCTTGATAGGTACTATTACTGTATTACACCATATTTAAGCAACCCTGTATGAAGGACACTAAATACACTCCAGCAGTTCCCTAAATTGTTGTATAATTAATGAGCGATGGGAATACTGTGGACCCGCCTGGCTCAGGAACCGGACTACCAAGTTGGTCAGTCGACATCCGATAAACTCAGGTTTGAGCCCTCATTAGGTGGATAGTACGTACAAGGAACTCAATGCTATTTTCCTCGGTGGGCAACACACCTCCGCATGTCAAAATTGTCAAATACTTTGACAATTTTAAAACATTTTTAAAATTTAGCACAAATGAAGAGTATTGCCACCGTCTTCCTGTTCGCAGCTCGGGCACATTTCCCTTCCCATTGAGCGACTGTTCCACCAATTGGACATGCGGAGTTTAAGCAGCAGCTACTTGCCTCTCTGCAGGCCAATTAAGGTGGATTCCAAGCACTGGAGGACCTTTACAGTCTGTGATGTGATAGCCACCTTGATGTTCTGCATTGGGGACCTTGCTGTCCTTGAAGATGGATGAGCATGACCAGAGTGCACTTCGCCTCATCTCAGTGTTGTTCTTCAGGACAGTATCTGAAACTACTAGTTTATGTAGCATTCATTTTTTGTAACAGGACAACACCTACCAGAAACATACTATGTATAGAATCCACACAGCCAGTTAAACAGAAGAGACTTTTCATTCCATCAGTCTATGCTAAATTTGAGTACAGTACACAAACCCAGTCTCAGCAATAAGTTTGCAGTTTCCTAACAAGATTTTTTTTAAGGGGTTTTCAGAGCTTTCACTTACTTGTAATGAGAAGATTCAAACAAGCTTGCGCACATAGAGGGAGGATAAACACTGATTTCATTATTTTTGTATCGGGGGTGTTTTATCGTTTTTTTAATCAGTTAAAACTGAAATTCGAGTCCTGTAGCTCAGTGGTTAGAGCACTCACTTTGCAAGCGAGAGACCTGAGTTCAATTCCAGGTAGAGGGCGAAACCTTGGGCAAGTTTCCTTACTCCACACGCCAAATAATAATCCCTCCAAAACAAAAAAACAATGATATATTGGTCATTTTCAATCTACGACTGTTTGTGGGACATTGCTGTGCGCAATTGGCTGCCGCGTTCGCCCACAAATATACAGTCAATTCACTTTACAGTATATTCTGTGAAGCGCTTTGAGACGTCTAGAAAACGTGAAAAGCGCTATATCAAAATCAAAGATTATATTATTATTAAATCAGAAGTCCTAAACATAATGCCCTGAATTGCAAAAGGCCTTCAATAGCGTAACACAAAAGGGACTCCTTTCACAAGATTGGTTTGGATGAAGAAAGCCCATTTGATTTATCTTTCCACAATATGAACCCTACTGTAGTCCCATTAAAGTATCAAACTTTAACTACGCTTGGTGGTAAATTATTTCAGCTGTTAATTATCCTATGTAAAGAAGTATGCCTTATCATAAACTTGCTCTTTGCATCCCTGAAAAGGTCTTTTGTGTCCCACTTACATTTTCTAATCATTAATAATTTATATACTGCTGTAAAGTCCTACCAGAAACATCATTTTTTGATTTATTATCATCTTCTACTACATACTGCTAAGTCAATCTTAAAATCAACCTACTAATTTAACATTAATTTGATGACATGTAACTTTCTTTAGAAGTTGCACACGTAGAACTTATCTATTTTTTCGGATATCCCTAGTAAATTGTTACATAGAACCCACAGCACTGAAACAGGCCATTCACAATTAGCCAGTACCAGCGATCATACTCTACACGAGCGTCCACCCATCCAATCCCTTGCCTCAAGCCTCCCTGTGCCCCTCTATTCTCTTCTCTTATGTATGTGAGTTATATCCGTTGATAGCTCGCATCCAATTGTTTAGATATTTCCTTAAGAAATGTTGGTAAATTGTGAAGCACTAGCTATTGCTGCTTCTGTTGTTGACAAATTCATACAGAATACTGTTCATCGCATTTCATTTTATGTTTCTTAGCATTTTCCCAATTGCAGATATCAGTTTAATTACTGTACTTTCAAATATGTTTCACTCCTTTTTTCAGTATTGAGGTTACATTTGCTATTCTGCAGTTCTTGGTCAGATACAGTTCCTTTATGGTTAAGATAAGAGGAAGAGAATACAGTAATGTGAAAAATAAGTCATATCCCAGAAGAGCATTTCCACACAGATGCAATCATGTCCTATATGTCATGTTCTTCTCTGTATAGGGGTTAGTTGGACTATAAAACTGATTTACAACAATTACCTCTGAAATATCAACATAATAATAAATCTTTATTAGTCCCAGGATTGCTTGCCAATCCCAAAACAGGCTTCATTGATCCAATTTTGTTGCTGCACAAAGCAATTGGGAATACAGAACAGTTCATACTATGAATTTATACACACGAGTGCCCATTATCAAGGTCCCTGGTGCCCAAAAGGTGTGAATACATAGAAGGATGTCAGAGATCCATTAATAAAATGCAGTGCAAGTCATTCAAAAATTGATTTACGGATCGGAAGACATACAGTAGTAACCAACGCAGAATCAAAAAGGAACCAAAAAAATCCAATAACCGCAACTACAACTCAGTTACATTGCTGCTGTAAATAAATGGTAGGACCGAGACAGAAATTAGAACAGTGGTTCGCAGCTCAGAACGAAACCAGTTTCGACTCAGCAATAATATCCGTTTTGACTTCGACTGACAAGAATTTGAAACCCACCCCCCAAAAAAAAAACTTATGTCCATGTGGGCGAGTCGAGTGTGCAACCCGAGCAACTGAGCAGTTGGGGGGGAAAAAATAATCACAAGAAAGATGCATAAATCTCGAAACCTTTTGTGTGTGTGTGTCTGTGTGTGTGTGTGTGTGTGTGCAATACCACCACCGACGGTGGTGACATACCAAAGCACAAACAGCGGGGAAAAGCCCCGCGTGAAAACAACTGCCGTCGGCAGCAAAACCCCGAGGCTTCCGAGTCTGTCGGGGAGAGAGAGAGAGCGAGAGAGAGCGCATTGAGGTGCGAGGAGGAGACACACACAAAGTCAAACATCAAAGCGGCCGCTGCGCCCAATCCATCGCCGCCGCCGCCGCCACCGCCGTTAATAAACTTCGCAGCATCAGCCGAGCCGCGCACACGCCGCCAACTGTTACTTACTCACCGCGTTCAACAGACACCGACTTCAGGCTGGTCCTCGGTAACAAACCCCCGCCCCCCCCCGTCCCCATTAACACACACAATCCCACCGTGCGAGAGCATTGCATTAAAAGGCTGACGTGAAGAGGGATGGGGGCGGGCGGAGGGGCTGAGACGTTTCTCCTCAGACGCCGCCTCTTCTCGCGGGGTCGGGTCCGTCCTGTTGCTCAGCCCCGGGTTGAGGGGCGGGGAGGGGAGAAGCCGAGTGACTGGTGACTGACTGGTGCCCCCGTCCCCACCGCCAACCGTTTCAAATGAGCTCTCCGCCATACACTGCCACCGCCAGTCGCACATCCGTTTCAAAGGGGAAACCTCCGAAAGGATAGTTTCATTCTTCAGAACTTTTCCTCCTTCTTCGGGTTGAAAGATTTGTACAAATATGCGCGTCGGACTAACTTGACGTCCGTCCGTCCGTCTGCGGGTCTCGCGCGCGCGTGTTCCCATTTTAATTGACGTGAAGCACGTCCAATGATATGCCTCGATTCGCGGCTGGACGGGTGCCGCGTCCAATCGTAGACGGCAGCACCACCCATTCTCCCGCCCCCCGCTACAACCAACAAGTTAGGTTGAGCGCGGCGTTGCCGGAGTGAAGCGAAAGGACCTTTCCGTTTCCACACGTCGCCTGAGAGGAAAGGGGGGCGGGCGGCGCGCTGCCGGTGGGGGGAGGAGCGATCCCCTATTTCCTCAGCAAAAACACGTTTATTTATTCCTACGTGTCACGCATTACATTAACATTTTAATGAGTTGCCTTGTCGTTATTACGTGACGGTTTTTTTTCCCTTGGTGTGTGTGTGTGTGTGGGGGGGGGTGCAATTGTGATCAGGCACACGAGACGGACGGTCTTTTATGTTTATTTTTTCGCGAGGACAGGGGGGGGGGGTCTTGGGAGGCGCTCTCGAGCTGAGGGTTTTTTTTTGCCCCCAACACAACGAGCGACGCGAGCAACTGTCAGAGCGCGAGCCGGAGAGCGTGCGGCTGTCATGGAGGAGGAGGAGGAGGAGGAGGAGGGCGAGCTCGAGAGGTAACGATTAGACAGCTGGTCGCTTCTCTCAAAAGTCCTGCCGGCCCACCGCCCTGCTCGCGGCGGCCTTTCCTGACAGTCCTGCCCCACCTTTCCTCCCTCCCCCACCCACCCCCCCCTCCCCCCCTCCTCCACCGCCAGTTTGAAACCCCTCATCGGCCCCTCATCGCTTTTGCTCAGAATCGCACAGGTTTTGATGAACCCGGAGGCGGAGCTCCGCCATTTGATCGCCTCTTCCTCCCAATGTCCTCATCCAGTTGGTAGCAACTCTCGCCTCTGAGTCGGAAGGCTGTGGGTTCAAGCCCCGGGTTGGGACTTGGAATCACAAGGTCAAAGCTGACACTCCAGTGCAGTGCTGGGGGGGGGGGGGTGGGTGTTGCGGTGGTGTTGCATTGTCGGAGGTGCGGTCCTTTGGATGAGACGTTAAACTGAGGTCCCGTCTGCCCGATCGGGAGGATGCTAAAGGTCCCATGGCACTACTCGAAAAGAGACAGGAGTATTACCCGGTGTCCTGGCCAACAATTCCCCAAATAAAATTGGTCCCTCACTCCATGGCTGTTTGTGGGATATTGTTGTGCCTGAATTGGTTGCCACATTTCGCACAAAATTCACAGTCAATCCACTTTACAGTTTAAGCTGTGAAGCACTTTGAGAAGTCTGGGTGAACGTGATAAGATGCTGTATTAAATGCAAGGATTGTTATATATTATTATAATAGCCACCCTGCAGGCCTCTTATAACAGAATCCAGCTGTTTCTTAAATTAGTTCTGTGTCATGGCTTGAATGACCCTGTCGGTGCCTCCCACCCCTTATTCCAGTCGCTAACTATCCTCTGGGTTAAGTAATCCTTTACCAGGTTTGTGCTTTCTGCTGATTCTTGGACTCCCTTTTAATTAATATGTCGCTATAGACTCTCCTTTCTCCTTCCGCTACCACCCCCTCATGTGATTCTTCAGACAGCGATCCCTGCTCACTAATGTTTCACAGCCCAGAAGTGAGCGGTGGTCAGTAGTTTCACAGAGTGAAACTGATATCATTTCAGTGAGGTTGGGATGTAAGACATTCCAACATACTGCAACTTGTAGTAGATTATTTGATGTTTGTTATTTTGAAAATAGGTTTTCATGACTTTTTAAAAATACTTTTTTAATCTTGTAATAATCCTTGAATTTGATATATTGCCTTTCATGTCAGAAAGACATCTTGCAGCACTTGAGGATTTAATATAAAATGTATTGACTATTTTGTAGGTGAATGCAGCAGCGTAGTTTTGCATAGCAATGGCCCACACACAGTGATGAAGGAATGACCAATTTTATTTGCAGAATTGTTGGCCAAGAAACCTTGAGAAACTCTCGTTTTTAATAGCACCATGAGATCTTCAATGTCTACCCAAACAGGCAGACAAAATCTAGGTTTGATGTCTCACACGAAGGACAGAATCTCTAACAGTACAGGTTTGTGCTGCATTGTATTGGAATATCAGATGAGACCAGGGGTTCTCTAAAAGTTTGTCCTCCCTAAGTCAAGAAAAAAAATATTCACCCCCCCTCACCAAGACAACACAAAGAACCGAAAATCCCATTTTCCGCAAGAATGCAAGCAACAAAGTAGAAGGGCTTTGATCAATGCATTACAATAAGCATATGAGCGTCAAAAGCACCAATTCTACTTCACTGTGCTGGCCCATGGCCATGGCTTTGCCCCAAAAGAGCACAAATCGCAGCCAAAACAAAACTGCACAAACATTCTTGGAAATAATAATAATAATCCGTGCATTTGATATACCGCTTTTCACGTCGGGAGGATGTCCCAAAGCGCCTCACAGAATACACTGTAAAGTGAATTGACTGTATATTTGTGGGCGAACGCGGCAGCCAATTGCGCACAGCAATGTCCCACAAACAGTCGTGGATTGAAAATGACCAATTTATTATTGTTTTTGGTTTTGGAGGGATTATTATTAGGCTCTGTGTGGAGTAAGGAAACTTGCCCAAGGTTTCGCCCTGTGCCTGGAATTGAACTCAGGTCTCTCGCTTGCAAAGCGAGTGCTCTAATCACTGAGCTACAGGAAATCACAACACCAAACAATTACAGAGCATCCATCAGTCCCACCCCATCAGTGGGAAGAATTTGAGTCTGTCTCCTCACCTATACAAAGTAGTGGAATTCTGGGTTGCAATATAGAAAGGTAAAGGCTGGGTTTGGCTTTGCGGGAAGCGATGTCACGGGCTTGGCAGTTGGGAGAAGAGTTGTTGCAGGGCCTAACTGTCGGGGATGTGGCCGTGCCAGGCCAGCCCTGCCGTGTGAAACCTGAGACTCAACCGCACATAACCATCACCTCCACTCCCCACAGTTAGAGAACCTCTGGCCTAGAATGAGTTTAAAGTCTAGAATGTGATACTTGAGCCCACACCCTTTTGATTTGGAGGTGAGAGTGCTAAACCAGGTGCCTGTTATTTGAGAAAAGGGGAAGGCTGGCACTCATCAACAATGCAATACTGTTGCAAGTACCTAACTCGAATGTCAGTATAGAATTGTGCTTGATAAAACTCAACAACAACAACTTATATAGCTAGTGTCTCAGAGCGCTTAACTGTGGTGGAATCTGACTCCGAGCCGGGGTGGTGGAGAGATGACCGTAAGCACAGTTGAAAAGGTTTTCAGGCGGGATTTGAAAAAGGGGAGAGAGTGGGCAAGATTGAGGAAGAGTGTTCCAGAGTTTCGGGGAGACATACAATCCAACCCACATCCTGCTCAACAGGACAGCTTTGTAGCCACCACTGTTTTTTCTGATTAAGAACTGAACAAGGCATACTGCACTGCTCCAGTAGTCCAAGTTAAAAAACAGCCACTTATAAAAATGGATTTAAGTTTCATATTATATCTTACTTCTGGCACAAAGCAAAGGGAAATTGGACCTCTATTAGAGATAAACATTCGTTCTTCTGACTCCAGCCTGCTATAGCAGCATGGAGGACAATATACAAATGTCATTGAAGTTCTGCATCAGGGGAATTGGAAGGATATCCAAGAGGTGGTTTTAGTTCCTTTTACTTGCTACAAAAAACACAAATGCAGGATGTTTATAAAGGAAAGGTTAGTGAAGTATTCATTTTCTTTCTCCCCTCTCCCCTTTGCTCCTGCCAAATCTTAGTAGCAGCAATTTTGTCTTCCTTTCCCTCTGAGCCATTTCATTGTGAAATGAGACCTCTCAGCAAGCAGCACCAGAGAACACATCTGGATGGGTCCTGGATACTCGTCAGCAAAATTCAGTGACTCGTATACAGATCATACTTTCTTATCTTCAAAACCCTTTACTGAACCAGCTAATTCCTTTAGGGGATTTCCTGGAAGATTAACTTGCTAATGAACTTTGGAGAATTTAGTAGTCATGTGTAGGTAAAAATAAGGGAGAGAAACTATTTCAAAAGCGGTTTCCTATCTGGTCGTTGTGTTTCTGATTACCGTACAATTAATGGAGCATCTGCTTTATATGAAACATACTTAATTTTCTTTCTTGCTCTTTCCCCCCACCCGAACATATACAGTTGCAAAGTCCCTGCCACTGCTCTCCTTTTTATCAGCTGCCTCAGCACAAAACAAAAATTAAATATAGGACAAATATGGCAACCCCATGGTTATGTTCTAAACTGAAGTTTACTGAATCAGCTAATTGCTCTATAAGAATTCCTGAGAGATACTTCCTGATGAACGGTTGGGAATTTACTGTACGTAGAAATTAGGAAGAGAAACTATTTCAAATGAGTTTCCGATCCAGTGGTTTTGTTTCTCATTGTAGAATAAATGGAGAATCCGCTTCAAATTAAAAGTACTAATTTCTCTTTCTTCCCCCACCCAAACAAGTCAGTTATAGCGACTGTGCCACTGCTCTATTTTCGATAAGCTGACACAGCACAGAACAAGAATTAAATATGAGACAAATATGGCACCCATAAACTATGTTTATGTTCTCTAATCATACAATCTCTTCCAGCAACATTACGGTTTCTTGTATGAAATAATAAATTGAGATAAGCCACGATATATCATTTCTGTCTGGAGAAGCTAAGCAATTCCAAGAATGGAGACAGAAGTTTTGGCCTCAAAAGGCAGCATGTTTAGCAATACGACCAGAACTAGTCCATTTATTAAATTTAGGTATCTTATCAATCATGATTTAAAGAATCATCATTCTTTGATTATGATATACAATGTAGAAAGAAAATGAATGGAATGTTGGCTTCACATGTGGATTTATGCTGAAGCTGTTGATGGAATATTTAACATCACAACCCATATTTCACCACAGGCAAAATATCTTAAGTTGATATCTCATCAACTCAAAACTGTCCTACCAGTAGACTGTCATGATGGTCTTGTGACAAGTTGACCAGAATTTCATTTCATTTGGGTTAGGCTGATAGTATTCACCATCTCATGTGGGCTAAATTAGTAGCCAATACTGCAGCACTCTTTTGTTTTATCTACTGCATTTCCAATCCAATCTTCCAAAGAATTCATGAGCAATAAAAAGATTCTCAAATTATAGTTGAGGCTAATTTCTTTTTTCATACGTTTTGTAGCACTCCATAGTACTGTAATTCAATTTCTAGGAAATCAACTCTTATCAATTTGACTGTTCACTCCGTTCAGCAAACACTGACTTCAGATGTCCTGAACTACCTCACCATTGATGGATGAGCTTTCTGCCATTCTGAAAACCATCCCGGATTCCCTCCACGTCACCCCTCCTCATTTTCAAACCCCCCCCCATTTAACTGCATTTTTAGTCATCTTTCCCCCACCCTCCCCAAAACTGACTGTTCAGCGCCTTGGGACGTCCTTCCGACGTGAAAGGCGCTATACAAATGTAATCTTGTTGTTGTTGCTGTTGTGTGTGAAGCTGTGAAGCAGTTTGAAACTTGCTGACCAGCTTATAAAGTGCTATGTAAATATGCATTTTCACATCTCAGCAATTGAATACTGCTTTTCCCAA